AATGGACCTGAGAGGTCCAGTGCAGAGTGAAAGCAGAGAGAGGGTTTCTCCCAGGGGAGGAAGATAGTGGCTTGTTATGGAGGGCAGTGGTGGAGGTGGAGAGAAGAGGGCAAAGGTGAGGTTTCTTCTGGATAGACAGGCAACAGAACTTGAACTAGGCAAGGGTTTCTCCAGTTAATCCTTCCTACCTGAACATGGCTCCTGAGGGGAGAGCACATGTCCCTCTCCATTCACTTTGGACTTGTCCACATGACTTTCTCCAGCCAATGAGATGTGCACAGGATGACAGTGTGCGGATACAGCAGAGGGTTTAGTGAGCACCTCTTGCTTCTGCTGCCCTTCCTGAGTTTCTACCTGCACCATGAGAAAAGCACGCCCCAGGCAGTGCCTGCTCTGCCAGCCTGGGTCTCCAATGAGAAGACACATGGACACTCACTGGGCCCCAGTGAGTTTACCCAAGAGCATCAGATCCCAGAAAGCTTCAGCCTACCTGCTGACCAATGAGCAAAAGCAAATATTCATGAATATAAGTTACAGAGATTCCAGGAGTATTTGTGTCTGTGGCAGAAGCTACCTTCTACAAGAACACTTTCTAGATGTTTGGCTTAAGCAGCTGTGTAAAGAGTGGTTCAGTTTACCAACTTGGGGAGGGTGGGGGGTTGACAAAGTGGGGCGGGACTACATTTTAGAACACATTTAACAAACAGGAATACCTGCTAGTTTATGGAGGATGAGATATAACTTTTACACACTTGGATATGTTGGAAAATCAAATTATTTCCATTTGGAGTTTAACATCCCAAATAAAATTTTAAAGCTTTTATACTCACTCTAATCATTGTCAAACATTTTATTCCCTGAAATTGTTTAATTCACATTTATTCAAAAAGAAAGTTCATCTAGAGTTAAAACTAGTTCGCCCCAAGAGTTTCTAAAGAGCTTAAAAATGGGATTACAAAGGATGACACCCACTAACTGTCATCATCTCATCCTTATCATTCAGCTGGGTGGGGCTGGGGAGCAAGCTATTGAGATCAAGGTGGGAAAGTGACTCCCCTTGAACTCACACCTGGGTCATTCAAAGAAATAATGATTACTGTGTTATGGATGGTCCACTGTGAAGACAGCCAAAGGAAGCTTTCCCAACAAAGCAGGAGTTTTAGTGTGGTTTTTAAATCAAAGCAGAGTCATCTTTTTTGAAATTTTATTAAATTTATTGAGGTGACATTGATTAATATAATTATATAGGTTTCAAGTGTACAATTCTATAATATACTAGAGGCCCAGTGCACGAAATTCGTGCACTGGGGCGGGGGGTGCCCCCTCAGCTCAGCCTGCACCCTCTTGCAGTCCAGGAGCTCTTGGGAGAAGTCAGCAGCCGGACTTCCTTAGCGCTGCCATGGAGGCAAGAGAGGCTCCCACCACCACCACTGTGCTCACCAGCTGTGAGGCTGGTTTCTGGGTGAGCGGTGCTCCCCCTGTGGGAGCACACTGACCACCAGAGGGAAGCTCCTGCCCCGAAGTGGTCAGTGTGCATCATAGTGTCCAGTCGTTCCACCGTTTGGTCAATTTGCATATTAGACTTTTATTATGTAGGATTATCTGTATATTACATTGTATATTCACCACCCGAAGTCAAGTCTCCTATCATCATATATTTGACCCCTATGCCCTCTTATACCTCCCCCCAACCCCCTTTTCTTCTGGTAACCACCCTACTATTGTCTGTGTCCATGAGTTTTAAGACAAAGTCATCTTAAATAAGATAAGATACATGGGGTTTGTGGGGAAAATTCTAACCTGATGTTTTATTCATGAATAACTTTATATCAATTTCATTCATTGAATATCATAGTTCCACTTAACAATGTATTATTTATTTTTTTAATAAATCTTTATAGTTCAGATTATTACAGTTCCTCTTTTTTCCCTCCATAGCTCCCCTCCACCCAGTTCCCACCCCACCCTCTGTCCTTACCCCCCCCCCAATGTCTTCATCATAGGTGTATGATTTTTGTCCAGTCTCTTCCCACACCCCCCACACCCCTTTCCCCCCTACAAGGTGTCCTATAGGGCCCAGTGGCTCAGCCTCCCCAATTACCTGAGGTGGACACTCTTGGTGCACCCCTTTGTGGGCTGTGTGCATAATCTTGTTGTAGTTAAGCCTTGATTGTTGTTGGTATCACTGGGAGGAATTGACCTCCAGGCCAATTGTCTGTGAGAATCAGCTGTGTCTACAGTGGGAGAACTTCTGTGCTGAAGACACCTTTATGGGGCAAGACTTGCTTCAGTGGGGCTTTGGTGCTCACCGAGTCTGCCCCCTGAGTGTGTCCCTTATGGATCTGAGAAGTTGTAATCTGGATGGTCCCAATCTGCCCACTGGGAACACGGGCTCTTGGATCTCTAAGGAGGTGCTAATTTAGCCTCTGCCTGAGGCTACCCAGCAGGAGCTATGGAGAGATCTACAGATTCCTCTCCCTTGTTTGAGGTTTGGAGGTGCCCAGATGAGGCCCAGCTGTGAAGCAATGCAAGCTTCTGTGGGGCCTTGGGCCTTCTTTTGGATGTTCTGGGTCTCTCTGACCCAGCTACAGTTTGTTAGGTAATTTTAGATCTCAAAGGGCCAGCCCATTCATATGCAAAAGCCTCTGCTAGCAGCTTGGGTGGGGCAGGGTCTCAGGAAATCAACAGAGTGGAGCAAGCAGCTATGGCTGATCCTCAGCCCTGTCCTAAGAGGCCCCTGGGTCTCCTCAGTGTCCTGTCTCAGTGTCCTGTGGTAATCGCTGCAAGCACCTCTGAGAGAAAGCTGCCCTCGAGTTCTGCCCGCTGCCAGACAGTCCAGTTTCTCCCCGTATGAGTCTGAGTCCCCAGAGACTCACCTGGAACTGGAGTTCAGAGCAGTCGGGAGCTTGAGACTCCCTCCCAATTGAAAAAGACACGGGCATCCTCTGTTGCCAGACCTTCCTGCGCACGTGCCTCCATACCTCTGCACTTCACTTCTGCACCTCCTCTGAGTCTCAGTGTGCTTTTCTCTTTCCTTCTAGTTGTAGAATTTCTACTCAGCCAGCCTTCCTGTGGTTCTGGATGATGTCTGTTTTGTCGTTTAGTTGTATTTTTGAAGTGGTTGTTCGAGGCAGCAATTTCAGGTGTTTACCTATGCCGCCATCTTGGTTTTTCTCAACAATGTATTATTTATAATTAATTTAATGCTGCCCAATGAATAGATACATATACCATAATGTATCTTTAGTTTATCTTTTTGTAACATAACTTTCTACCAAATAGTAACATACATTCATAGAAAGTAGTCAAATATGCATTAAGTGGAAAAAAAGAGATATAAAATAATAGCCTTTGTATGATATAACAAAATTAAATATAATAATAAATATTGTATACATATTTAATCCTATCTAATAATAAACAAACATGGTAATTAACCGTACCTTCATTACCATTGCCATTGGCTGATCGGTGTGATATGCAAATTAACCACCAACAAAGACGGCGGCTAATTTGCATACTGCAGAGAGGGCGGGACACCAGGAGCCGCTATCCAGGCCCCCATGTGCGACCCCAGGAAAGCCAGGCCACAGGCAAGACGGCCCCCTGGGACCCAGGAGCCCGTCAGCGAGGTCTGCAGGTGAAGCAGTGATCAAGCTATGAGGGGGAGGTCGGGGGGTGGAAGGAGCTACAGGAGCAGCTCTGGCCAGAGACTAAAGACTCCAGAGCAAGGAGCAAAGACTGAAGGCTCCAGCCACAGTGAAGACTGTGTCCAGAGTGAAGATGGAAGGCAGTGGCCAGAGTGAAGGTCTGGGTCTCTGGTGCCAGAGGAAAACTGGTGCTGGCAGCCAGGGGAAAGAAGGCCTATTGCACAAATCTTCGTGCAACGGGCCTCTAGTATCTATAATAATAAAAGTGTAATATGCTAATTAGACCGGACATCCTTCCAGACCACCTTCCAGATGAAGCGAGGGCTGTGAGGGTAGCTCAGGTCCCAGTTGCCTGCTGGTGGCTGGAGGAAAGCCCGGGTCCCGGGTGCCAGAGGGTAGCCAGTGCCAGCAGCTGGAGGAAGGAAGGCCTACTCTTGCACAAATTTTGTGCATTGGGCCTCTAGTATTACTTATTTATGTATATAAAGATCTCTGGATGGATTAATATTATATTATAAACCTATAACATTTTCTATTTTATGTTTTTTTGTTTCTACATCACTTAAATCCCATTAAGATGAATACACATTTTTTCTAGAATTTAAAAAAAATCAACAAAGATGTTTTTACCTAGAGGAAATACAGGAAGAAATCATTCAGACCAGAAAAGCCTGAGGGGAAGATCTTAACGCTAAAGCGTTGCAGCTAAAATGTTCTGAAACAGGCCTACAAGAGAATCACATCATTAGCAAGGCTTTCGGTCCGTGGGATAATGAAGACCCCAACTTACATTTCACATTCCATGCCTCCTGACAGCCTAACACATGCTTACTACTGCTTAGTGTACTTTAATAAGGATACAGTATTAATATTTTATGTCCACCGATTGTTTCTCTGTTTAAGGGTATCTACAGCCTGAACGAGCAAGTAGCAGCCTGGAGACATAAAAGCACACAGCTAAATGCACACTTCCCCTTATTGTCAGGAACGATGGATACATTAAAAGGGATGATCGGGAGAAAGGTACACTTTGGAGGTTTGATCTAACCCATTTTCACATTCAAAGGGTGCTTTGGGTATTTCTCAGAAATACATAATTGTGCTGAGAGCAGAAAGCACTTAGCATCAGCTGAACGCTTGCTCAAAATCTGAGTTGGAGATTTACAGTAACGTGTCAGCCCACACAGCAATGGGCTGCTGAGCTCCGAAGGGCTGGCCAGGCGCCGGCTGCTGGGAGTGGGCTCTGAGGGGGTCTGTTATGCCTCCTATGCACCAGGGAGGTCCACCTTTTCCTGAACCCTCGCTGCCCTCCCTCTCCTTCCTGCCTCACCGCCCCCCCCCCCCCTTGGGAAAGGAAAGCCAAGAGGCAAACAAGATGCAATTCAGTCCTGCAGCAGATGAGTTGATTTCAGACTCCTGGTTGTACAATCTTCACAAGAGTTTGTCATCCACCTTCCCTTTGCCCTTGGTATTTGAACTTGAATGAAACCCAAAGGTGACCTAAAGCTTCAGGAGAAAATTGCTGAAGTTCACTGATTGGCTGAGTCAAAATCTCCAAATTAGGCCAGATCTGTCTTCAAATGCTGATTCACCAGGCTTTGAAGCTGGATGCTTCCAACAAGGCTGGCTGGCCAGGGGAAAACTGAACAGACTCTTAAACCTTGCAAGTTTCAGACTACTTAAGCCCTTCGCTCCTGATCCCTCTGCTTAATAACCAAATAGAAGTGTTAGTATTGGATAAGGGCCATCATCCTAATTTGAGCTATCTCCAAGACCAGCGTCACACTCAAAATAGCCCACGTGGATGTGCCAGCCAGTCAGCCTGGGACTGATGCTCTGCAGGTTTCTTTCAAAGTCCTGTCTCTTATAAGACTGTGGTCATCTCCTGAATTGCTGTTTTTTTAAAAAACAGGAATCTCTTTTTTTTAAGGTTGATTCAAAAAATCGATCTTCTATTTCTAGCTGTAACACTTCAAAGTCAATACATGCAGGAACTTTCCTATAACTCTCTCTTTTAGATCATGAGTCAACCCAGAGAGGTGTTTTTATTAAAAAGTACCAGAAAGAGATGGACACCATAATACACTGCTTCCTCTGTGGCAGGCCACCCCTCCTGGTTCTGAGCGCGATGAAGGTGAGCTGCTATCACCATGGAGCCAGCTGTCCACAGCCTTGACAGAGGTGTGTTTGTAACCACCACAGAAGCTCATGATCTCCGTGGAAGATCATGAGCTTCTTTAAGAGCTGAGGCTCTTAATAAAATACCCACATGGAGGCCAAACCCGGTTCACTACATCAGACGCTCTGCAGGTGACGGCATTGGGCAGGACACTGAGTCTGTGGTAACTTCACTGTCCCATCCATCAGTGCCATGTTTTCCTGGGTGTGACCCACAGGGGCCTCCAGGAAAGGAGGCGGGCAGGTGGGGCAAGAAAGCAGGAGTTGGACCTCGGCATCATAGACTTGGCAACCTCATTAAAGAGACAACACTCATACTATTTAAAGAAAACACGGTATGAAATGAATGCCAAAGTGTAGGCTTCAGAGAGTTAGAGGCTGAGACAAACCAAGTGACAGGAGGGTGATTATGCAACTAAAACCAGCTCTGCTCAGCCTTCAGCCCCTTCAGTCACAGAGGAAAACCAGAGCACGAAGAAGCCACATGGGATCCCAGAATTCGATGGCCAGTCTGGCACACGAACCTCCGACTCCAGCTCCCTCTGACCCACCCAAAGTGGAATGGAACACTTGGGCCAATTAGGTTTTTTCTCTCTCATCTGATAAATCCATATAATTGACCCCCCCAAACTGATTTTTTGCTTTTTGAATTATCCATACAATTGCTTTGATTTCCACTTCATGTTGCTTTTGTAACTATAACCTCACTTTCTCCTTTTGTATAATCAGTGTGAAGCAAATTTTTCCTTGATAATCCACATATACTGAGTTATTATTATATATAAGGCAGTATAATTGGTATGATGAGGAACTGTGAACACAAATTATAAATAAACATATACAAGTGTCATGCCTTCCTAAGCTCACAGCCTGTCTCATACATAGTCTCAGGAGAAGGTAACTCACAAGGTAAGCAAGGTGTGCTGGGTGCAGGGGGTGGGCAGAGCTGGATGGAGGATAAGGGGAAAGGGGAGAGATGAGAGAGCATGAAAATGGTCAGAGCAGAGATGCGGAGATGGAAAGTTAGTTAGGCTGTATTGGGAGGGTCCTATGGGTGCTCGGCTGAGAGAGGAAGTGGAACATGTCAATCTGAAGACATTGAGCGTCTGATTGCTTAAAACCAGACCTGACTGGGCTCAACCAGTTAAGAAGCTGGGTCATTTGTACAAGTCACTTCACCTCTCTGGGCCTCAGTTTCCTATTTGTAAGTGGGTATAATAATAACTTTCCTTATTAGGTTATTGTCTTAGTTTGGACTGCTATCACAAAAATAAATCATAAGCTAAGTGCTTAAACATTTATTTCTCACAGTTCTGAAAGTGGGGAAGTCCAAGATCAAAAATCTGGTGGGTCTAGTGTCCAGTGAGGGCCTACTTCCCAGCTTCTAAACAGCTGCCTTCTGGTTGTAGCCACCATGGCTGATAGAGAAAGTTCTGGTCCTTTTGTCTCCTAAATGGCACTAATTCCATCATGGGGGCCCCAACCTCATGACTCCATCTAACTCTGATAACCTCCCAAAGTCCTTACTTTCAAAGCCCATCACACTGGGGATTAGGATTTCATATGGATTTGAGGAGAAGAGAGACATTTAGTCCAAAGCAGTTATTTTGATGATTAAATGAGTTGATATATCTGTAAATCATTCCAGAAGTGTCAGGAGCATTATAAGCACCACAATATTGTTGTTAGTTAACTATTCTACAGATCCCAGGGGCTAGAAGGTGTCACTCTGGGCTCTGAGCAGGGGTGTGGTATGACAGTTCCATTATCCCTTTGCAGAATGGGTAGATGAGCAGCCACACTGTGCCAGGGGAGAACCACAGAGCCCTGAACTGGCACTGGAAACATCACCAAGTCCCAAATAAAAAGGATGTGGGAATGAAGGAACAGGATGCCCTGGTTGACGGTGCTGCCAAAGTGTGTTGAGGCAGGGCACACAGGTGGCCTTAGTGTCCTTCACAGCTGGCTCCAGGTGGAGAAAAGGGAGCACCCCTCATCCCTGCTGCAGTGAGGCCTCTCATGGTCCTCAGCTAGGAAATCCAGTGGCCTGTTGGAGAGGAGAGATCAGATGTGGTTGCGACTTTGTGCAGGAGGTGGTGCTCCAAGGAGAGAATCTAGGGAAAGGTGAGAGATGTGCTGAGGCCTACAGAGCCAGGAAAGAGGCTTTGTAACACTATAGAGGACAGTGGTTCTGGAGATGGTGGGTTGACAACCAGATGGAATCAGGGCTCTGTATGGAGCCCACATATATGCCTGCATGCCTATCACTTTGTGGGAAATACCTAAAACCAGGATACAGTTCAAGTGGCTTGCACTTTGGAGGATTTCCAAATCCCATGGTCTCAAAGCGGCAAAGACCCTGGGTTAATACTGGGAATCAGTAAGGACACAGGGGGATCGTCTGATGCTGGCTGGCCTTGTGGGCATCTTTGAATGGTTTCAATGCCTTCAGCTTTGACCATGTATTCAATGTTTAAATCCATAGAAAGGACCATGACTTTGTAGATCTATTAGGAACTCTGAACTGAATACATGTTAAAATATATCAGTTATATCAAAAATGATACTTCCGACAGATATATGAAGGCCCTGAAGATAAAGAATGAAAAGAGCCAGGCTATATATAGAGAAACACAACGCCAGCAGGAACCTAAACAGGTTGGCATTCTGAACAGAAGCTGCTAGTCCTCTCAGGTGACACACTGGGGCCCTGAGTCTTTTTTTGTTTTACTTCAAAAACCACAGCAAACCCTCTAAATGTTCTGGCTAGTTTTCCAGTAATTATGAAAGAGGATGGATGGAGGCATGGAGGGGAAGAATGAAGAATGGAAGGAAGGATAGAAAGAAGAATGGAAGGTTGGATGGGTAGGTGGGTGGGTGGATGGATGGATGGATGGATGGATGGATGGAGAGACAGTCTACAAAATAAATCTTCCACCCAAATTGAGCCTAAAACTTACAATAACTTTTCTTTCCCATCTGTGAAATGAAACTGCTTCTTTCTAGCCTTTGTCTTACAGAATCTGGCTCCAATAAATGAAGTGACACTTCTTATGTTGTATGCCTACACAAAGCTCTTCCAAACTCCCTTTGACCCACCACTTGTCCCCTGCCCTTTATTTCCAGTTGAACTCCAGAGTCCCTGCCCTCTTCACATCCTTCAGCACTCAGCACACAGTCACCTGTATTTAGCATCTCACCCTGATTCTGAGTGATGTCAGGACATGTGAAGAGCACTTGTATGTTTGTTTCTGAACATGTCTCTCATCTTTGAAGGTGCTAAGTAATTCCACAGGGATGGAGTCAGGTCATTGCTTGAAGCTGTCTGCACATGACCACTTGTATTTATTATTATTATTGATGGTAGAGAGGAAGGAAAGAAGGAAGGAAGGAACCAATCAATGGGTTTCTCCTACACCAGTGATGGCGAACCTTTTGAGCTCGGCGTGTCAGCATTTTGAAAAACCCTAACGTAACTCTGGTGCCGTGTCACATATAGAAATTTTTTGATATTTGCAACCATAGTAAAACAAAGATTTATATTTTTGATATTTATTTTATATATTTAAATGCCACTTAACAAAGAAAAATCAACCAAAAAAATGAGTTCGCGTGTCATAGGTTCGCCATCACAGTCCTACACCATCAGAAGACAGGCCCCCAGCACTTAATGCTAACTCTCTTCAAACCCTGGAAAAATAAACACCAGAAAATATGGAAATGAGACTGAAAATAAAACCCCCTAAAGTCTGGGAAAATGTAATCTCACTTTCCTAAATTTAGCACATATCCCCGCACAAACTAGAGAAATCATCTCAAAATATATGAGAATTATTATTCTGCCCAAAACATTAACTGCATCACTGTAAGCAAAATAATATAGAATGCATATTAATACTAAGGTGTATTTTAAGTAGTGTTCATTATAATGGAAATCTGATTACTAAAATTAAGTTTATTTTTTCATATCTAATCTTATCAACATTAATTTTAATATCATTTAAGTGGGTTTTCTAGCTAGTGGACAAGACAATTCTGGAGCAATTACCTTTATAATATTGTTATAAAAGCTTTTTTTATAAACATAAGTAAGTGGCACCAATTTAATTTTTCCTTTGAGTTCTAACCAGCATCATTCAAAAGAAAGAGAAAAAAAGCTAAACTTAAAAGTCACTAATTTATTTTTATGAAAGTCATCGAACATACAGCATGATACGATGATGAGCTGATGCTCATGTGATCTGAACCAGTGTTCTGGGTGGAAATCACTCACGTGGCTAACCAAACATCCAGCACAAACATTTACCAAGAAGCAAACATCTACTGAGAAGGCCATCTGTCAACCACTCCAGAGGCTATGGCGACTATGGCAGGGGCACAAACATCTATGCCCAGGGCAGGTGGATGGAGACAAGGGGACTACGTTACCTCTAGTATCAGATGGAGGCAGGAACTTCTTTGCAGAGCAAGGAAGGGGGCCTTCTGGAGCATCTAAACTTGGCAGACGTGTGCAAGCAAGACAGGGAGACAGCAGCTTCCTGATACTGAAACAGCAGCCCTGCAGAACGGAGACCCCTGACACAGGGACTGAGGAACTGGAGATGACAGAGGAGGCTCTCAAATGGCAGGTGGCTGCACTGAGCCATGTCTACTGAGCTGCACTGCTGGGCCATCTGAGGATTGCTGAGCAGAGGGGAAAGGATGCAAGACTGGCAAAGCCACTCTGCAGGGCCAAGGGGGATGGATTTGAGTGGGGGTGGGGATGGAGCTGGGGGAGGTGTAGAGACCAATCAGGGGACTGCTGCAATCCCTGTCTGGACAGCGGAGCAGAAGCAGTAAGTGTCGGGGAAGCTGGGAGCAGACTCCAAGGACCGTGTATCAGTCTGCTGGGCTGCATAAAAGTGGCAGGGGAGGGCTCTGGCCAATGGCCAGGCTGGTAGGCAGGAGACTAAGGTTTTAGTCGCTGAGAGGGGCCCAGAGCAGGAGCGCAGCTTCATGTAGCTTTGGGGCTTCTGAGCACCAGGAGGTGCCCAAGGCCACCTCTGGCCTCAGGTGACTGCTGAGCTCTACTTGCTGCTGTTGCTACTTCCTTGTGTTCATGGAAATTCCCCACTACCTCCACACAAACCTGAGCCACAAGAGCCTGGGGTGGTGGCCTAGGCCTGAGGCTTGTGACAGGCTAGACCCCAGACCCTGAGAGAGGGAACCAGTCCCTATCTCTTCAGAAAAGAAAGGCCAGCTAGTGTCTTGGGAAAACCCTAGGGCTGGGCCCCAGGGGTCTGGATTCCAGAGCCAGCTCTGTGCCTCCTGAGCCTGCTTAATCTCAACAGGCTCCTGTCTTCTTATCCAGAAAAAAAAAGGGGCTTTGCTTGCAAATCTCTAAGGTGATTTCAGCTTTAAACCGCTCTGAATCCCATCTTCCTGCTGACTGACATTATAATTTTACAGAGGCCTTATCTTCCCTGTAAATGATCGTTAGCGGCAGCAGCCTTTCATCCCAGCTTAAGTCGCCCTGACCTTTTTATCTAGTGGTTAATGAACACCCTGGTGCTGAAGGCGCTGTCCTGGCTGCGTGTGTGTGGTCCTGGAGGGTTCTTCCAGGCGTGGGAAAGCCGCTTACACGATTAACACCAAGAACACAAATCTCCCTTTGGCTCCTCATGTGGTTCCCCCAAGCGCAGTGCAGGAGAAGGTGGTCTGCAGCGGGGCCCTGGATCAAGAATGGCGGCTCATGTTTCCTGCCTCATTTTTATCATCAGAAGGGCTTGTCTCGTGAGAAGCCACATGGTACTGTCTGTCACCCATGGAGGAGGCTGCAGACATGGCCAGAAAGGCCCCACATCAGAAGGTCAGTCTCATCTTGGTTCCAGGAGAACCTCCCACACTGGACACCTGTCCTCATCCCGCTGACAGGAGGGGGCAGGCATGAGTGTGTCCCTGACAGACCAGGGAACAGTGCACAGAAGCTCTAAGACATGATAGGTTCTGTGGTTCCCAGTCAGATTTTCTAAAATAGAGGGGCACGTGCAGCAAAATAGATCTTCAGGCGAATTCTTACGTCTCTATTTGCCTTGCATTCATATTTTGGGACATCATATTATCAATTGGCCATTAATAAATACGAATTTATGAGATAAGAAGTGGTAATGCATATGTTCTCATCACACTCAGAAAATGTTGTAACTATGTATGGTAATAAATGTTAACTAGACTACTTGTGGGGATCATCCCACAACATAAACAGTATGGAATCATTAAGCTGTACACCTGAAACTAATATAATGTTATGTCAATGATAGCACAGTTAAATACACACACACACACACACACACACACACACACACTAGGAAAAGTATTTCATGTAACTAGCCAGTCTGATATCATTGATCTGGCATCTATCCATACTTGTCTTATTAAAGGTACTAGGAAAATGCATGTGGGTTGTTATTTTTTCACACATTATGCAATGATATATGGGATATTGCCTCTATATGTAGCTTTAAAATAATTTCACTTGTCAAACTGCGCAAGTAATAAAAGTGGAATACTATTTTTAATTAGTTACGAGACATTTGTGAACTATTTAATAACAAGCTTCTTTTAATTGAATTTCATTTTTTGTCTCAGGGTAATTCTGACAATATTATGTGCCACCCCAAAAAGCAATAACTGTACTGAAAAGCAATAATCTTTGGACTGGATATCTGTCTATAAAATATTTTCCTCTTATAGCTGGAACCCCAATATAATATCAGCGACTAGTGGAGCGGTGGGAGCGGGGGTAGAAGAGACACGGGGTTTGAAAGCTGCTGACACAAAGGGGGCTGGCTGCAGCGGCTGCTGCTGTTTGTTCTACCCGAGCTTCATTTTATAAGGTCCACGTAAGGGCATCACTTGTAAATACCAGGGAGCTCTCTCTGCAGGACTCCTGGGCTCGGTAAACACACTCAGGCACGATGCTCATAAACTGGCCGTCAATCATACAGGCTCCTGGCAGGGAAGGACATCCCAGCAGGTGCCATCTGGCCTTGGGTGTCTTTGGCTGAGCAGTGTTGGGGAGTTGCCTCTGGGCAGTGCAGACCCCACCCCTTCTCTTCAGGACCTAAACTGCTGC